TACATACATCTGCAGGTACGGTGTATATGTATATATATATATACATACATATGTGTATATATATATATATATATATATGCATATGTATGTGTACATATCTATACACAAACAGGCGTGCATGCATACCTTTAGAGATCGAAGCATGTACCACCTAGGAACCCTTAGTGTAAACCATGGTAATCCCCAGAACCCGTTGACCCAGGCGAATGGAAGAAAGTTTGAGAACAGGGTGGCAGCTCGGCTAACAGAGGACCGTTTCAGACACAAAACGACCCAAATATGGACACTCGACAGTGCACATAAGTACTGGTAGAACCAGTGTTTTGGGACATGGAGGTTGTTGAGCATCGACCTGGGGGTCTTCGTGTTTGGGCTGCCCTTCACCCCAACCCGAAAATCTAAAAAATAATTCCGTATAAAGTCTCCATGGGATCCAGAAGCCATTCCTCCCGATGCCACGAAACTGCGGGAGGCCCGTGTGATTCCAGGCGACCTACTATGTGCCCATCTACCTACCTGCCAACAGTACCTATCTGCATAGCTAGCTTCCTGTTCGTTTGTTGACTTACTTGCTTGATTGCGTGTTGGCATGTGTACAATGACCTTTGCGTTACTGTTTGTTATACATACATGCATACAGACATACATCATATACATACATGTGTGCGCACGTGCGTGCAAAAATCACATGTGCATGTACTTATGTTGTGTTCAGTCTTGTTTGAGAGGGCTGGTGGGGTTTGGCCGGGAGAGTGTCCTTGGTTTAGTCTTGTGTCCTGGAGCTTTCTTCTAACCTACGTGTGTGCGATCGTAGAGCTGGGCCAATTGGAGAAACATGCCAGTTCCTGCTGTGTGGTTGCAGGGCAACTCGAACTAAGATACTATATCGGTCATTCTACTATCATTACTTTTGCTACTAGTTGTGATTATGAGCCTTTTGAATGCTCATTTTTGATTTCGCACGTATCCAAACCCTAAGCCTAAACCCTATCATGGCCGTTGGTTTGAGTTCCCGCACAGCTCTGTCCGAGGTTTGCGCAGCTTTCTATCCAGTCGAAAAGTTCAATGAGGGCAAGCTCTTAGCTCAGCCAGAGGGTTGAGGGTTTAGGGTTCAGGATGTAGAGTTTAGAGTTCAGGATTTAGAGTTCAGTGTTCAGGATTTAGAGGTTAGGGTTCAGGGCAGATCTTCAAGAGCAGAGATGCGAAGACCTCGCAGCACGATGCCCCGAAATGTCAGAAACTCTCGGACGACCCCGCAAGATCATGCAGCTTAGAATTATGGAACCTGGGAAGGTTTCTGTGTTTGGGAGCATCATCCCTTGAATCCTTAAGCTTCAACCCCACAGCCCCGAACCTCCCCAAAACTCCGTAGCCCTATCAGAAGTGGGGTTGAATCAGAGCTGTACTCTAGTCATGTAACCCGTTTGAAAGAGCCCAAAGCCCTGAAAAGGAGCCCTCCAAAGGAACCCCTTTAAAGCAGCCCTTTCGCGGGCTGTGCATTTCCGTTCCATGGCTGTGCACCAGCCGGGAACTGGGAAACTTGGAACCTCAGCGGTGCGATGTTTAGGGTCGAGCTGTGCGGGTTTACGGTTTTTTGGGTTTAGGGAGCGGGTTTTCGAAATCACCAGGTGTGGGCTTCTTCGTAACATAGGTTCCGGGCAAAAACACTGTGAGACCCATGACATCTCATACCAGGTCAGGCGACTGCTGCAGCGGTTCTTTGTGCACTACAAGCTGTAGCACTAATAGCGCCAAGTCAACACAACCGTTCCCTGCCTCATCATCATCGACCTAACCCTTGGCCTCGTTAACATGTTTCCATCAACGGCATCAGTTCTGTCACATCATAAACGCAAGCATCACGAGCATCTTCATCATAACTGTTATCATCGCTAATGTCATCCGGGTACCCCATCATCACTAAATAAACCTTCAGCTTTGTCTTTCATTGCCATCCCCCACTTAAAGACAATATTCAACATCGTCCTCTACCCCATCGTCGTCACAGTGCCCAATACGTGCGACATCAGTATGTTATGCCTGGGCCTAGCCGTCCTAATCGTCAGCATCAAGATCGTCATCACCATGTTGAACTTGCACCACCAACAATCCCCATGGCATCACCATGTCGCTAGCCTGTTTGTTTTTTGGCCTCCATGGTAGCAGCCCTACATTGATAGCATAGTCGAAGTTTGGCGGCGTCAGCGGCGGTGGTTGTTTGTGTCCTCCTAGTGCTGCTGCTGGCTGCTGGTGGTGCTGGCTGTAGGGATGCTGACGGTGATGAATCAGACCACATGATGATCAAGATGTCAAGGATGATTCTGCTGATGACAACGCTTGTTGCTAAAATCACGTTTAGGAACAGACATGTTAGTGAGCCGGTGCGCATGCTTCCTATCGAATCCCAACCCACCTTAAGTGCCCTAAAGCCTGTTTCTAGCATCCTGATAAAACCCTTGTCGAATCTCTATAGGATCCTCCGAAAACCCCGAGTCCAATTCCTAGTCTTGTGCCAAAGGTTCAAGCTTTGGTCCACCTGATCCGCTCGGTGGCGTACTGGCCTCATTTTGGACTGGTGATGAAGGGTCTGCCATTTGGTGCCTTCCGGGGTCTAGGGAGTCTAGGGCATAGGGGCGTAGGGCTCTAGGGTTGTGGGGTTCAGAGCGTAGGGTCTGTAGGCTGTAGGCAGAAATTGAGAGCTCATGCGTCATATGTCTTATAGCATTTTAGGGTGTAGGGAGTACTCGAAGTTTTAGGCTTCGAAACCCAAGCTGAGTTGGCTGTTTGTGAATCCCAACGACAGGCGTTCCGACACCCTAGCCCTAAAACGCTTAACCCTAATGTGCCAACTTTAGGGAAGTTGTGTTCAACAGGAAGGCCTCCCAAGGCCGTCAATCCAAGGTCTCTCTTTCAGGACCCCAACTAGGCCTAAGATCGAAGGAACATGCCTCCAGACAAAAACCTTGACGTTGCTTTGGAGTACCTAATAACTCTTCAGTGTTGTTGGTGCCCAAAACATCATGAATCTCAGATCTCTTGTCGCGAGGAAGGTACGGTCGATGTAGCCCGTGCCCACTGGCAAGGAGTACGTGGTCGTAGCTCAAGATACATGTCATCAAAACCGCAACAAGGTGTGTGTGTGTATATATATATATATATATATATATATGTGTGTGTGTGTGTATATGTATGTATGTATGCATGTATGTATGTATGTATGTATGTGATCATATCATACATATAATATATATATATATATATATATATACACACACATATATATATATATGTATAGTCACACCTCTCTCTCTATACATATATGTGCGCCAGATCGCCTGTGAAAGGACAAGCCAGTTCAACATGTGCGCACATGCCGAGCCTGTGCTCTCCAAGCCCTATATCGTTACTGTCATTATTGCTTTTATTAGTATTACTAGTATTATCATATTTTTTGTTCTTCTTCTTATTATTTATGTTAGTGTTATTCTTTCTTTTCGTTAACAGTACGAGTATTAACGTGTTAACATCAGTATGATTGTCATTACCTGGCTGCATTTGGTTAACACTACTGTTACTATCATAGTTTACCCTTAGATTCTGCTTGAGAAGCTAGCCGACACCTCAGGATTTAGGGGTTTAGGGTTTTCTATTCTTTCTACTGCGACCACTCTCAGCAAGCCTGCGCAGAGAATGTTGCGTCAAGGCTAGATTGAATGATTGGCTGTTCTACGGTTGATGATATAAATCCTGCACTACCCATAATAAGAAATCTACCATTATTCCCATAGTTTAGGGTCCTTAAGGTAATGCAGGATTTATATCATCAACCGTAGCACTTACTGTTAAGTTAAATCCCATGGAAGCTCCAGCCACCCTGTATAAACCTCTCGACCCGTTGGAACCCATTTGATGCCCTTATCATACAGCCCTTAAACCTTCATCGAACAGTTATACCCTTACTTGGAGGATCATGGGACTTAGTGAGTATGGCTATGAGTACTTCACGTGGATTATAAGAAATTGTTGGTGTTAGTTGCCTCAACTTTTACCCTTGTTACTAAGTGCCATGATCCTTTAAGTCTCTTATAGAACCCTTGCAGGGAACCCTATTGTAGAACCCCCTGAACCCTAAATCCCATAATCCTCGAAGTAGCGCTTGGCATGTCTTGCAAAGGTGAGACTGGGCGGCTTCTGAGGCCGCGAACTCGGATTTTGGCTCAGGGTTCCTTTAAAGGAATGAGAGGGGTTCCTGTAAGGGATCTATAAGGGTACTATAGGGTTTAGGGGTTTAGGACTCGGATGTTGGCTTAGGGATTAGGGCTTTCGGGTTTAGGGATTGAGGCTTAAGGATTTGGGTCTAGGGATTGGGCTTTAGGGTTCAGGATATGGTGATTAGGGCTTTAGGGTTTTAGGGTTTCAGGTTTAGGGTTTCAGGGTTTAGGGTTTGAGGGTTTAGCATTCAGGGTTTAGTAGGTCTTCGGGTTTAGGGTTTTAGGGTTGCAGGATTTGGGTTTTAGGGGTCTATGGGCTATTGGCTTGGAGTTTAGAGTTTCAGGGTTTAGGAATCAGGGTCTAGGGTTCAGGACTTAGGGTTAGTCGAAGCATGTGTGTTCCCTCAGAGCATCCGTTTCCAGTCCAAGCCAATAGTATGCGCACTCACCAGAACGATAAACACAATATTATTTGCATCAAACTTGCTCCCCCGCCTCCTCCACCTGCTCCTTTCCCATGTCATCACAGTCTTGGGCCTGTGGAAACAGTATCAGTAACATTCAGCTTCCCGGCAGAGCAGAAAGCCGGACAGCGTTGGAAACAAGAACAAGATCTCCGCTAGCCATCACATTAATTCTGTACACGAACTAGTCGTCGATTCATCATTCTCACGATTGCGACGGTCACCGTGCGGGACTTTCACGACAATTATTACATTCGATCAACCTTGGGCCCAAGCAGTGATAACCCTTTGTCGCCGCGACTGTCGACAGAAGCCATAAGCCCTAATGAGCGCCGACTCTGCTTCACATCGTGGACTCCGACTCGGTTCTCGCCACCCGTCGGAGATCAATGACTTTGTTGGAGACGTGCTGACTCCGTGGGACATTCCATGTCTTCACTCGGGATGGATCCCAGGTGCCCTGAAGCAAGATGCTGACAGTTTGACTTCGCACATGGCCGCTTCGACAGAAGCGCATCGGAACGTCGTTATGAAAGTTTTGGAGAGGAGTCTAGTCGGGCGCCGGCTCCGGATCCATCCAGAACCAGAACACATCACAGCCTTTCAATTCAAGGACGAGGCCTTGGTGCCCGTGGAGAGGAGGGTGCTGCCAGCCTATGACGTGCTGTTCCTTTCTATCGAACTGGTTGGGTCTCAGGGCCAAATGACACAAGTAGAAGACTCCGATCTGGATGCTGCTGCACTCATGGACATCATGGGCACTGGAGATGTTGATGAAATCAGGGAGGAGTTTTTCATTCATGGACACGAAGATCTTCGCAAGGCCATGGTGGAATGGTTGCAGGGAGTGCCTGATATTCATGTCCACGACGATCCTGACCTTATCAACAAGTCTAGGGTAAAGTGCACTATTGGAGGCATGGAGGTGGACATTTTGCAGGCACTGGCTCCGGAGCATCTTCGCGCAGAGGATGCACGGATGGTGAAGCTGGGGCGGTGGATCAAAGCTTATAGTCTGAGACTCGGCTGGGTGTACTTGAAGGCTCAGTGGAGTTAACTGGTAAGTAGCTGCATTGACGAGCACAGCAATGTAGTTGCGGCACCACTATTTGGGGGTTTCCCAAAATAGGGGAACCTAATATAGTACCCCAACTAGTAGGATCCTTATTATAAGGACCCCTAAATAAGGTACCCCTATTTTCGGAAACTCCCGTTTCAATTCATCCTACGTAGCGTTTAAAGCTGAGCCCTGCACGGGTCTGTGGCTTCTTAGGGACTGGTGAGCCTAGGGCTCCCCCGCTCCGAGCAACGAGTCTCTAATCACTCTAAGGTAAAATCCAGAAAGTTGGAATATGATTAACCCTTCTATGGTAAGTTATAGGGTATCCTACCATGAAACCATATTCCAACTTTCTGGAGTTCCCTATAAATCTCCCAATCGCTACAACTCCATAGTCTTCGGCGTTTTTTACTAGGCAGTTTGGTTTCAGTTGCACTAAGACATGAAACTCGTGAAACACATGTAAATACCCACAATCGCTTAGACCCCCAGACCATCGAAACCTGGTCCGAGACTGCAAATGCTCGTTGCTTCTTGGCTTTGTGGAATGTTCGAACATCATCAGTTCGAGTTCAATGAGGAGTTAAGTTAGGGTGCCGGGACTGCGTTTAGGGTATGGGTTAGCGTTTAGAGCCTGGGGGTTGAAGTCTACGGTTAGTTTGTTGGGTGGTTTTAGAGCTAGGGCAGGGGAAGACACACATCTTATCCCAAAATCGTGCTGCGATGCACTGCACAAGGTTTTGCAGCCTGAGACTGAGATCCTTTTAGCTCCCCTATAAGCCCTAAAACCAAAGAAGGCCCCAAACCCAAGACCCATAAGCATCACCCAGACCCTGGAATCCTCAACTCCCGACACCCAAGCAGAAAGAGATTCCCAAGGAATCTTCAGAAGACCCGCTGGGTGGCAAATCAACCCTCTGTCGTCCGAGACGCAAGCAGACTCGCAAAGCTTTGGGCACGATCGGTTAGTGATGCAGAAGCCAGCACCAGCGAGGACGAGGATGAACGAATCAAGATCAACACCTATGCAGTCACAATACTTCTGGCTGCCTTACATCGTGCGTGTCCAGGGACCTCTGCTTTGGAACTGTGCAGTCGAGCATGGCGCATCTTAGTCTCACTACGTGTGGACCTGTTGGCCGTCGTCAGCTTCGACGAGACTTTCTCAGCTAGGCTTTTGCGTGGACCACGCTTTCATGCTGAGCTGGCGCTGTGGATGAATCTCTCGGGTATTAGTAACCTGGGCCTGCTGGTGGAAGATATCGTCCAACCAGACCGCTTCTACCCCGTGTGCGAGGGAATAACCACCCCTAATTTGGCCAAGCATGCCGCCACTGCTTTGCAGCGATTGTCTTCCGCCCAGACTTGGGAAGAAGTGATACGTCAAGGCACATCACCTTTCGTACCAGACATACTTGAACGATTCTCGTCCTCCATGCAGGCACATTGGTCTTTTTTTCGTGGCCTAGTCTCGAAGTGCCCTAATGGTCATCAACTCAGCCCGGGTGTGCTTGAAGGAGATTTCGAATGCGATGAATGCCACGTGAAAGGCAGTGGCATGCACCTCCTAGGATGCCGTCGATGTGATTTTGATCTTTGTGAGTCTTGCGCCGCCGCGCTCAGAATGACTACCACCCACTTTCCCTTGCCTTGTTCATTGGAGGCCATGTTCAACAAGTAAAGCAAACATTCCTGAAGGATCTAAGTCAAGTGCCAATCAAGCAGGTATCTCGGCTCGCAGCCTTCATACAGAATTGGCATGTGGGTGGTTGTCATAACCATGGTCCTTTTGCATCCCTATTATAATACGGCACCTAATGTTTGGGGTACCCCCAAAGGGACCCTAATTTTGACAACCACCCATGTAGATCCTTTGGGATTCTGGGAAATGGCATCTGGGAACAAAGCTTCATGGAAGTCTGCAGCTCCTGAGTGTGTGCTAGGCGAGTTCTCAAAATCGCAATTCGCCCCCCCCCCCCCCCCCCCCCCAAAGGCCCATGCACTCATAGAACACAAATATGTGTTTACGTATACACATACATGTTACATACACATACATACATACATGCATATCTACATGCAGACGTACACATGCGACTTTGGCAAACATGTATACACGCATGTATGTATGTGTTTATGTATGTATATATTCTCAGGACACGAAGAGCCTGTCTATAAAGCCTTCGAGCGCTTAGGGTGTGTGTTTTGTTTGTGCGCACGGACGCTTCTGTGGGCTTGTGGCCTGCTTCCACTAAACGGATTGCTAGCTGCCCCAAGGGCCCAAAGGACTGAGGCCATCTTGGAAGCCCTGTTTTTAAAGCCCCTTTCTGGGGAATAAGTAGGTACCCGGTTTTAGGATAGTACTTATGTCGGTTAGGATTTTGGACAGTCTATGATTATTTGGTACTTTCACCCTGGGGGCTGCTAGCTGCTAGCAGGGAACGCAAGACATTGCATGAAAGTGCCAGGGTCAGCAGCAAACAGCCAACAACAATAAGACTTGTGAGGGCCGATGGCGCAAATAGCTCGGCTAGACGAACACTCGAATCTAGAATAGCAGCACCAACAGCAGCAACAGCAGCCATAACCTCTACTGCCCTGCTATTGGCTGCTATTGCTGCAACGGCAGCCATCGCTACTGCTGCTGCGGCGATGTTGACCATCACCGCCACCTCTTACTGGTGCTACCTCTGCTGCTAACTGCTACTAGTACTGCTACTGCATCAACTACAGAATGGTCTTCTGAAATCTCGAGCTGCCATGGTAAACAGCATCACGGGAACGGTATGGCACCGATCGGAATTGGCTGTTGCGGTGTTGTTGCCCTGGCCACGGCAGCCTCAATCATCCCCGTCGCCACTTTTATCACGGCGGAGTTGTCGTCATTCTTATAGTAATCCCTAAACCATACAGTAAAAGCCAGAAAGTTGGAATATGATTATCATAAACCCTTTATGGTAAATTATAAGGTATCCTACCCTGAGACCATATTCCAACTTTCTGGAGTTCCCTTTAGCCCCTAAACCCCTTAATCCCCAAACCCTCATCCAAAAAAGCCCTCAACCCTACATCACCGGCCTCGGCCTCCTCATCACACCCAGAGACTCCAATACCCCTTAATCAAGAAAATACTTTAAATCATATTAGGGTCCCTACTATGATTTAAGGTATATTCCTTAATTCAGGGGTATTGGAGTCTCTGGGCAATCTTTATCTTGTGGAACGTCGTCACCATCATCTGCAGTATTCGTCACTTTTGCGCCATTGTTTAGTCTTGTCTTTATCTGCAGCATGTAGTTATTGCCCCATCGCAGCATCGCCATCCCTTATGAACACACGTCCGAATCTTAAGATAGTGACGGTGAGGGTGACTTTTATGAGTACGAGAGGCAGCTGATGGTGGCGTTGACGACGATATCGTTCATGATGATCACAACAACATGCAGATGAGGTTGGTGCTTGAGAAAGTATCACGTATCAGGGTTGGGTCGCAGTTCGGGCTGTTGATGCTAGACTTTATTCCCAAGCCCAGGTACATTAAGCAAAAAGCTCGTGAAGGCCGCGCCGCGTTTCACCCAAGAGAAGCCGCAGATTTGGACAACATACGCGCACCAACAAGGCAAGCAATGATCATCTGCAACCTTACAGAGTGCACAGAAAGCCTAAACTCTCGACCCTAAACCCTTTATCTCAAACCCACACAACACCGGGAGCAACATCGAAGAACGGCCATGGAGGCTGGAAAGAGTGTCAAAAGCGGTCTTCTGCAAAAAGCTTGAGGGTGATGCGGAGGGGAAGTACACGCTCAGTCTTCTCGTTTGGGTTGTTTCCAATCTTCATCAAATCTGTGTGTGGGTTGTCCACATTTCGGGTTTTACGGTCGCGCATATAGACTTCATGCTGGAAGGCGTGCCCAAGCCCAAGGCCTAGGTAGCCCGAAACCCTAACCCTCTCACTAGGTCTCGAACTTAAATCTTAAGCCGGTATCGGCGGAACTTCATCCGTGTTTTGCAGGGGCCTCAATCGTTGGAGTCGGGTTTTGGGGCTTACTATACTAGAACCAACCATGCAACATCAAATGCCTCAAACTTTGCGGAAGGAAGACGAGACTCAAAAGAACCAGCAAAAAACCTTGAAAGGCCCGTAGTTGCAGTGTCCTCACTCCAAGGCTAAACGATGAGACATGCCTTCAGAGGATCATGGGACTTAGCAAGTAAGGATATAAGTACCCTAAGTGGGGTTATAAGTAGTTATAACTACAGTTGCCTCATTTATAACCCTAGTTACTAAGTCCCGTGATCCTCCAGGCAGTCCTTAAAGAGCCGATCGCCAGTCCTCATCGTAGTCGAGTCGGTAACCTTTAACCATTTTGGGATACTCTATATATGGGGTTCCTTTAAGGCTTGCTTTCACGGCACCATGAGGGTGCTATGCAGGTAACCTTTAACCTTTTTGGGGTACTAGAACCCCTGTATGGATCCCAATATGCTCCCAAAGGTTGGCCTCAAGTTCCCGAGGATACTGGACATGTAGGTCTTCATATGTAGTGACAACATCCGGCTTAGGGCTTCATGAGCCTTCAATACTACTGTTCTACGAGTAAGCAGTGGCAAGGGCATAAACGAGAATAATACGGTAGTAGTAATCGCCATTCTACGAAAATGAATCATAGTATTCATCATAACAAGACTAGTCAAAGCAAGAATGACAAAGAGTAATAATGCTAACCATGGGTCCATATACACTACTATTATGGAATGAGGTCCCAAAAGACCATCTCCATAATGGTTTTTGGGGACCTAATTCCATAATAGCAGTGTATAGGGACCCTCTGGGAATACTCAGTGAGTGCACGCCGATCGGTACTGTGAGGCTTGCAAAACCATGGCCGAGCTCTTCATGGGACATAGTAATGCTTAAAGAAAGGGCTCCTTAGAGGGATCTATAGGGTTCCTTAAAGGGATCTACAGGGTTTAGGGTCTACTTAGAGGATCATGGGACTTAGTAACTAAGGTTATAATAAACTAGGATGCCCAGTAGTACCCTTATTCCCTTTTTGTAGTCCTAGGTTCCTTATAAAGTTACCCAATACCAAAAAGAGATGCCTTTTTTTCTTAGGTTACTGGGTATCCTAGTTAAGGTATCTGCACTTATAACTATAACTACTGATACCCCCACTTCGGGTACCTGTAACGTTACTTACCTAGTCCCGTGATCCTCCAAACATAGGTTTGACGAGCTTCGCCTATCGCCACTTTGCCGCACCGCGATACAAGCTGCACAGCATAGTAATGTGTCATATGCCGTAGATTCTTTTTTCTAGCTACAACGGCCCCTGTACTGGCCCGTAGCCGTAGCCCCGAGAATTACTTATAAAGTATACCCCACAAAGCCTAGGAGCACTATCAACATGTAAGCCGCATGATAAGACCATGTCCAACCTAATTGAACCCTAAACTACCACAGCACCCCGCCACCCCAAACCCACCCACAGCAGCAAAAGACATCCAGCAACAACTCAAGCAAAATCCTGCTCTACCCCCAGAAGAGAGAGATCATGTTGGATAGGATTCTGGTACCGAGAACTAAGAGATTTGGCCGGGATGGTGCGTCTTCTCGCGCTGCTTGCGGCTCTCCAGCTCTGATCTTGGTGCAGTATCGTGTTTGGGGTTTCGGTGTTTAGGCTAGGGTTTAGGGCTGGGGGCTATCGGTTTTTAGGATGCAGGTTTTGCAAGTTTCAGAAAGTTTGCATGTTCGCAAGGTTTAGGCTTGGGGCTTAGGGCTTCACTAATTTTGGCGTTGAGGCCTTGCAGGTTCAGGGCTTTCGAGTGTGGTGGCATTTTGGACTCCAGGATCTATGACTTAGGCTGACCTCTATGTGGGTGGTTGTCAAAATTATAGGCGCTTCATGGGGACCCTAAATGATAGGTGCCGTATTATAATAAGGACCCAAAAAGGGACCCTAATTTTGACAACCACCCATGTGTTTCGGGAGTCTGGATTGCACTACAACTTGCAGGCATGTCTCTCGTGTTGGTCAGCAGCCATGAAGCTGGTTGCATGGAGATTCGTAGCGCTCCGGGCGGTGGTCTGTGTTTGAGCAGATAAACGCTTGCTGTTCAGGGCGAGCTGTTTTTGTGAACGCCGATGTCTTGGCCCTTAACCCTCAACCCTAAACCGGCGGACCTCAGGACATGGACTTGTCTTCATTAGGAAGCTACATGAATTGTCCCTACAACGGCACAGGCTAAGCACCACAGAAACCAAAGAACGGTACAGTACCGACAGGACTCTGTTACAAAGTATAGTATAGTTTGGAAAGGCTGTTCAATGATTCAAGAAGCCAGTGAGCATCTTCAGAAACCAGAGAGCAAGGTACTGCAGGACCCACAACACCGGATACAGCTATGCCGTGAAAAGCGTTTTCATTCGTTGACCTCATGAGCCTGTAAACCTGCAAAGAGACCAACCAAAACCAGGACCCATTCTCAACCCTTCTAGACCACTGTATTACTATTATTGCTATTATTATTGTGGTTCTGATTACAGCCTTGCTATTCTGAGTAGGGGTATTGAGTATTATAGTTCGTATTACACGCCGGTGCTCGGAAGCTGGCGGGTAGCTTTAGCCAGGCATAGGAGTGGCGTGTTTTTGCGGCTAAAGTAGGCTCTAGTAATACTAATAGTTATTGTATTTGCAACAGTCAAAGTTGCCTTCCTTCCACATCGTACTTTGAAAATCAGACCCGAAAGGCCCAAAGCACGAAAGCTTCAACCCCGAAACCGTCAAACCCTAAACCCTAAAAAGCGAACTGCAAAAGCTGAAACGCAAGAACCTAGAAATCTCAACACCGCTCCCAGAACTCATATCCCCGAAGCCTCTAGCCACTCTGGCTTGTAATGTAGAAGCCTAAATAATTGCCAATACTGTTTCTTATTCTTCCTTATCACAAGTATAGTATATTATGACCCAAGGCCCTCTTCGAATTCTTGAGGCCCTACCATAGATCCCTATTATAGATGCCAGGTAATGGGAACCTATAAGGGTCCCTTTAATAACGGAATTCGTTCTAATTCTCAAGGCCCCTATAACACTATAAGTCCGCTACACACCTTTCTACAGCAACCCTTTAAAGGAATCCTGTTCTAATTCTTCAGGTCCGCATGTTGAACCCCATAAGTCCCTGACGGACGTCTTTACGGTAACTTTTTCAGGGAATCTCTATGCTACTTCATAAAGCCCCTACAGTAAACCCCCAACAGTTGGAAACCGGATTAAGGACAAATAGTACAGGGAGTCCCTCGACATTACTCTTAAGGATTGAGGCTACGGGGTTTCCAACTCTTGGGCTTCTACTGTACACCCCTAAACCTCTTCCTAAACCCTAAGGCCTAATCCCCAAACCCGAAGCCCACAAACCCTAAGCCCTAAACCCCTAAACCTTAAACCCGCAACCCGAAACCCTAAACTCTATAGACCCGTTAGTACCCTTTTAGGTCTCTTATAGGGGCCCTTAAGCAGCCCCTTTACAAGAGCCCCTATGTTGAAGCTCGCGAGACCTCGAAGCTCTGCCGAGGTCGCCCCTGCTCGCCCAAGCACAGGACGGAGGGGGCTATTACAAAGGATACTATAAGGGATACTATATGGGATACTATCAGGGATCCTATAAGGGATACTATAAGGGATACTAGAGGGGTTTAGGGCTTAGGGTTTAGGGTTTAGGGTAGGGATACTAGAAGGGTACTATGATATAGGGGCTTTAATAATTAGAGTAGGGTTCCTTTTAAAGCTATAGGGTGGGGTTTAGGGTTTAGGGTTTATCGGGCTTAGGGGTTTCAGGGTTTTGGGATTTAGGGTTTAGGGGTTTAGAGATTAGGGTGTTAATGTTTACGGTTCAACGTTTGCCTTAGGGTAGAGTTTCCGAGGTTGGGGAGTTAGTTTCCGAGGCTCGAGGCTATGATTTTTAGGTTTAGTTTTAGGGTCTTGGGTCTTGATCTGAGTTGGTGTGTCGGAGTCTCACAACCAATTGCAGTCCAAACGCGCAAACGCAAAGCAGTGTCGATATGGAGGTTCATTATAGTACGGTGATCTCATACACACTGCATCAACAAAAAACGAACACAGCAACCCCCTCGAACACCCAGCCCAGCACCCTAAACTGCAAGGAGGCACTGGCCACTCCTCTTCCCTTCTTGGAAGAGGGCTACTGCACTTCTCCTCGAATCTGAGCCAATCATATGGTCTAAAGGTTAAGGTTTTGGCTTCATCCTGCTTGTGTGCATGTGTTAGGATTTTCGGCCTTCGGTGGAGGATTTGAGTCTAGGCTTCCGCCTGTAGGGTTTAAGACTAAGACTCACGGTGTAGGATCTCAGGTGCATGACTGTTTTTCGGGGGGGGCTAACCCCTCGTATCCAAGCCCATCTAAGGCCCCCACCAAGCCCGTCCGAACCAAGGAAAGGATGGAGCTGCGAGGATGTCGGAGTCCATTGACATCGCCAGCATGGACTGCAACTCGGGCTTTAGGAGCAGTATTTGAGGCTGGTGGTATTGAATCTTGCATGTTTTGTGGGTGTCTCATAACTCTGTTCCGGCTTGTCAATGTTCTAGAAAGGGTGTTAAACACAAGGGTTTCCAAACAACGTTTGAGCAATCAGGGTTGCTACAAGGCTAGGAAGTACGTCTCCGAAGTAAGAGAGTTCAAACTAAGTAGATCATCGCCTATCCGGTACCCTGATATTTATCTAAGCACCAAAAGCAGGGGTTTTGGAGACTCTTGGTATCCCCAAACTCTAAACGCCAGACTCACTAAAACCCATGAGGACCTCATGTCTTGCGGGTTTAACGTCTCGGGGCCCTGGGGCTGTTGCCGAGTGTTAGCACTTGCGGCAAAGTATTTCCCCAAGAAATGGGTAGCTGTCAAAATTAGGGTCCCTTTTTGGGTCCTTATTATAATAAGGAACCTAACATTAAGAGTACCCAAAAAGGGACCATAATTTTGACAGCCACCCAAATGAGTTAAAGCAGGTTGTGGCAGTGCAGGGATTGAAGAAGTGCGCAGGCGCATCAGAAAGCGTGAAACAGGCAACCAGGCAAAAACAACGGCTGAGAATCGCATCATTCTCCCACCTGAAGCAATAGAGCCATCGCAGAACCAGACGGCATATCACAATGGCCACAATCATACGAATCGCAGTTGTTTACGATATGTTTTTACAGCAAGAGGACCCCACAGATTCAAGCCTGCACCGTAGACGGTAATTGTGCCCAATGTTAAGTTAAGGATTTGGGAACTTCAGGTTGGAGACTTGAGGTTGGGGTTGTTGCGGGTGGGTTCCTGAAAGACCCGCAGCCGTGAACCCTGAGCCCTGAGCCTAAACCTTTAACTCGCAACCTTAAAGCCCTGAAACCAAACCTTAAACCCCATGAAGTCCTGAACGCACAGAGGCACGCAGATTATGGAGTTCGTCTACATCTCGCGTCTGAAGATCTGGCAGCAGCTGGATCAGCACTTGGCAGAGGTCAATGCCAGTGCACCTGCCGATCCTCTGCGCATCAGCCCCCTGCGCTGCACTGGACTGGGCCTCGTTAGCTATTATTTGTTAGTACTGCTAAATTAAAAGCAATACTCTGTTGCTATTGTCATTCATAAGTCTTGTCCCTTCCAACAGAACACAGGTGTGCCGTGTTTTAGGCACTGCATCAAGAATCCTACCATTTGCAGGGCTGATGTTTTATGTCAAGGGAGCCCAGTTTCTGAAATTCGCAAGTATGCGGGGCCCGGGGCCAGAAGCTTTCTTCAGTTGAGGGGGTCAGGGGACGTGAAAGAGCAGGGCTAGAAGTATCTTCACATTGATGATCTACATACTTGTGTCCACTTTTGACTTCGCCCCCTGGTCCTTCAAGCTGACTTTGCGGGATAGTCGCTTCATCGCGGAACCCTAAACCCTAAACCCCGGAACGCGAACCCCTAAACTTTCAAGCTCCGGACAAGTAGAAATTGTATGAGTTGCCATACTGCTATCTTACTGCTTTAGACTCTGCAACCCCCCATGTTGACCATGCTATACTAGCAGCGGCAACAGTACTCGTATTGGAGCACTGCCGGTCGTGATGCTGGAAGCAATGAGTTCAGCAATAGAGAAGCAATCACCCACAGCCGCAAACAATGCCTTCTAAACCGCCCAGCCTGAAAGGGTGCAGACACCGTTTGGATCCTATTATGAACCCTAAAGTAAGGGAACACCTTAAAGGAAACTCGGAAAATACCCCTAATAGAACCCTCCCTCCCTCCCCAACCTCTACACCCTAAAGCCTACATCCTTGATTAAGTAAGGGTACCCTTCCAAACATCCCCAAGACATAATGACTCTAGCCACTAAATCCTGAACTCGGAATCAATGATATCCTCCAAGACATCCCAAAATAAACCCTTACGGAACAACTGCAAACAGAAGACCCTAAGCACATGAACGAAATCCCAAAAGAAGTCCCGAAGCCCTGGTATCTAAACCTTCAAACGCGTAGAGAAATCCCAGGACATGTCCCCAGACCGTGAACCGGAAGCTCTAAACCATCCTAAACCCTAAACCCTGAAATCCTAAACCCTTTGAAAGAACTCCCAACAAATAGTGCTGGACCTAAACCCCCCAAACCAGTAAAACATCTCAATCCGATGCGAAGACGACCTGAGCCCTAAACCCTAAACTCTGAACTCTAAACCCTAAACCCTAAACTCTAAACCCTAAACCCTAAACTCTAAAACCCTAAACCCTAAACTCTAAACCCTAATCCCTAATCCCTAATCCCAAACCCTATGCCCTAACCCCTAACCCCTAAACCCTAATCCTAAAACCCCAGGCTCTAGGGCCTCGTCGCTTCTCTCGGCGCACGTTCACATCATCACAGCGGTGTCCTCGCAACGAGCAGAATCCGGGTCCTAAAGGGGTCCTGGGGTTCCTTCAAGGGCTCCTTTAGGTGCTCCTTCAAGGGCTGCCTTAAGGGCTCCTTTAAGGGGTCCTGCAACTGGCTTAATAGCAGTCAGTATAGGATCTGTAAGGGTTCTAGGGTCCTTTTGCAGGATCTAGAAGTGTCCTCTAAAACTTCTAGAGTTCCTCTTCGGGATCTTAAGAGTCATACACCATTTGTTTACCATTTTCTTCGGATTGGTTTCATCATTCGGTTACTGAGCAACAGGAAAGAGCATATCCTTGTCACAAGGGGATGCTGGGGAACTTGTTTTAAGCATGTCAAGCCAATGCTAATACCCTAAAGCCCTTGTTGCTAAGGGGATACCGGGGAACCGAGGAATGCTTTTCTGAGCACGTCCGGCTCCTGCTTACAGTGAGCCTCCGGCGCATGAAGGCTCCCTGGCTACGTTTCATACGGTTTGTGCGAGTCTGACAGGGGCTTCATAAAGTTTCATCGCTTACTAGAGCGAGCCAGAGGCCAGCAAGAAAAGTTATAAGTCAGGCAACTATAGCTAGAAACGTCCGTAAATGGATAGATACATTGCTCATTGAAGCAATGGCATCACCAAAAGATAGGCTGTGTCTCCGATGAAGGCGCTGGCGACGTCTCAGGTCAAGCAGCTCTGGCACGCGAGCCAGGACACCATCCGTGTTGGGCTTAGGGCTGATAGGGTTTACGGGGAAAAAAGTTTGAGGGAACCGTCATGGGTTTGTCGCCATTTACTGGCTGGGTGTCTAGTTCTTCTCTTCCAGTGGTTATCATTGGCGGCAAGTTTAGTCAACTTGCCTTCTCGAACATCTCGTATGTTGCTTCTGTTGCTTTGTTTAGGGCCCAGCGGCTAGCCGTATCACAAGTTTGAACAATCGCCACTTCGACCTTACCTAGACCTAGGTTTTGATTTTGGGGTCCTTACCTTAATACAACAACATATCCGAAGAAACCTTTTCAGATTAGCCCCAAACCTGAAACCTTTTCCAGAGTCGAGGTAGATATCCTCAGGAACCCCGAAACTCCCAAATTGGAAAACACCGAAGCCGGAAGTTCGGGCTGAGACCTGTCAGGGGCTTGGGGTTTGGGAGTTCCTTCAAAGCCTCCTATGAGGATGATAGGGGTTTCGGGCCTAGGGGGTTTTCGGGCTTGTAGGGGGTTTGTGGTTTAGGGGGTTTCAGTCGTTCAGGGCTTACTGTCTTTCGGTTTTCAAAAATTTCGGTGGCTTTGGTGGTTTAACTACGACTCCAGAGAACAAGGAAATCCTACGGTTCGGTGGCGTTTCTGACAAGACAAGGCAACAACTCCTCTTTTTGGATGGTGCAAACCGTCTAAGATTGCAAAAACACGGCAGTATCCCCAAGGGTCCATGTACCTAAATAGTCTATACTTTGGGCCCAATGTACCTATATAGGGGGTACTTTAAGGCCAAAGTATATACTATTTGGGTACATGGACCCTTAGGGTACTTAAAGGCTCATGGGACTTAGTAAGTGAGGTTATAAGTAGGTTATAATTAGGATAACCCCACTTAGGGGACTTATAACCCCAATTATAACCTACTTGCTAAGTCCCCTGATCCTCTAAGTATTGATGTTGAGCGCAGGATGGTTTGGAGGACCCCGAGGGTTCCTCTCGACTGAAGACATGGCTGATCGATGCCGCAGGCCTGCTTCGTGGCTGTGGGTCTTTCATAGGAGGCCAAAAGGGGTTTTAGCCTATGGGGGTTTAGTAGGGATTAGGGTTCCCAAAATAGGGTTCATACTAAGGAATCCCCACCCCAAGAATCTTAAACCCCCTTTTGGCCTCCCATCAGTCTTGTTGATTCCTGTCAGGGCCGTGGTGATGCTCGAGATGACGGGGATGCTGGCGGCCATGATGGCAGTGATGGTGATGAGCATGATGAAGATGAAGAATAAACTGGTGATGTTTAACATGTAGAAGATGTTGATGGCGGACATGAAGATTAACAAAATGGCGAGGCTTTTGCACCACGGAATGTATACCTATTGACACTGTGCCAGTGGTTCGTTTGCAGGTATGACCACCTGCTACTGTTGCTGCGATTGCTACAGCTACCGCTATGGCTACGGTCACGGCTGCGCTGCTACAGCTAACTACAGCAAGGCTGCTTTTGCTTCGTTTGCTGCTGCTGCTGCTGCTGCTACTACTGTTGCTAGTACGAGTAGCAGGACTCGCATCGACTAGCACTTGCGCCGGCACTACACTTTCACTAGCACTATCACTTGCACTGCCACTACCACTACAGCCCCCGACCACCTCCACCACGACTGCTTTGTCTGCTCTCCTGAGAAAGCTGAAGGCAAGAATTGCATCTTGGTTTCTGGGTGCATGTACATTTCCGTACTTAGTGTGCTCGGGCTTCGTTCGTGGGTGCTGTGCTACAGTTCTCCAGTATGGGATATTCGGGAATTCCCAAATTGGAGGATGGATTGTTGGAGGTCCCGACGTCTCGAAGCTGTAGGAGCTGGGAAGCAGGCGAGGGAAAACAGTACCAAACATTCCTCGCCCGTCCCCAGTGCATGTGGTTTCATGTTTCGGCTGCCGTATGCGTGCGGAGCCAACCCAGGTAGAGCAAAGCCACGCACGGGGGAATACCAGCACTTTCGCTTTGCACGGTTTGTTGCATTTTGACCTTATATGTTCAGGTCTGGGTTGATAACATGAGAGTTTCCGAAAACAGGGGACCCTAATATAGTACCCTACATAGTAGGATCCTTATTATAAGGACCCCAAGATAAGGTACCCCCTATTCTCAAAACTCCCATATTGGGGAACCTGGAACTTGCTTAAGTCCAAAATAGTGCCTAGGATGCCCAGTAGTACCCTTATTCCCTTTTTGTAGTCCTAGGTTCCTTATAAAGTTACCCAATACCAAAAAGAGAGGCCTTTTTATTCTTAGGTTACTGGGTATCCTAGGTGCTAAACCCTGGCAGCCAGCCATCAGTTCCAAGTCCTACATAGACCAAACTGAAGTCGAACCTGAGCCCCGAATCCGAAACGTAAGCCAGGTCGGTTTAGGGTTGAGGGTTTAGGGTTTTGGGTTTCGGGGTTTAGGGTTTAGTGGTTTAGGGTTTTGGGTTTCGGGGTTTAGGGTTTAGTGGTTTAGGGTTTTGGGTTTAGTGGTTTAGGGTTTAGGGGTGTAGGGTTGAGGGTTAAGGGTTTTGGGTCGACGTCCCTTTGAAAGCATCGTCTTCGCTCAACCACGAGGTACCTGGGGCCAACACCTCCCTTTGACCCAGAGCCCCAATCAATTAAATGGGGGCTCTGATAATGATCGTAGGAGTCCGGGGTATACTCTCATACATACAGCTTCTAAAGCATCGGGACTATATGGGGATATTACTGTAGCCAGAAAGACCTACCTTTTAGGGTTCCTTGTTATGGTTTCTATATATAGTTCCTTAAAATGGTAGGTCTTTTCGGCTACAGGTTATTCTTACGAGATTAACCTTTGAAGTCGCCCCCCCGGTCCTTCGAGTCTTTGGCAGGCCTGTTGGATGCAGACCTGCGCACGTTGAAGACCGTGCTGCAGCTGGGTGTTAAGGGAATAGGGATCTATAAGGGTTCCTTTAAAGGATCTATAAGGAATCCTTGGGGGTCTATAAGGGTTCAATTCAGGGTTCTTGTTCAGGAATTGAGTTTAAGTTACCATCATAGGGGTCTATCGTAAATCATAGTGTTGTCTCTTAACGCCTAAACCCTTATAGAACCCCTAAAGGACCCTAGATTATGGTAAATTAAACTACTCCTGTAACAAGAACCCAGGCAGACGTGGACGCCTCCCAGTTTGGCGGAGTCCCGCTTCTACAGCCACGAGGAATCTCGGCGGCTCAGGGCTTACTGTCTGGTTCTTAGTAGGGAATGGGGGAATGGATTATGGAAACCATTATTGGGGTTTATATAGGGACTACTATAGGGATCCATTCCCCCCCCCAAAGCCCAAAACTTTCAAGCTCAGAAGAAACCCCATGGTTGGGCCCCGTGCTCTCAAACCCCACAAGAAACCCAACGCCCTAAGCCCCATGGGGTTCAAAAAACTATTTGTAAAACAAGATAATGGCATAACGATCATAATATTCACAGAACTAGACAAAAGTGCGTTCGTATTTGTTCCTATGGACTTTTCTCAATCAAACCCAAGCCCCAATCGCAAAACCCCTGTAGGAACCCTAAAGCGGATCCCAAACCTCCTTAACACCCCCGTCAGACTGCGATAAACCCTGCAAGCCTCATAAAATCCAGTGGAACCTCCCAAATCCTTTGGGAGTTTCCGAAAAAAAGGGGGTACCCCATTTGAGGGTCCTTACAATCAGGGTCCTACTATTTAGGGTACTATCTTGGGGTCTCCTATTTTCGGAAACCCCCACAAACCTTAAACCCCGAAACCCCAAAACCACCAAACCCTGGACCCCACAAGCCCCAAGCCCTTAGACGACCCGACACCCTGAAAACCTAAATTAAAACCTTAAAACCCATGCGTAAAGCACCAAGAAGCCCCAAAACCCTAAAAAGCAAAACCCTAAGTGAAACCTTAAAATCTGGTTGACACCTATCCCATGTCAGGCCGACGGCCGCTTCAGCACCATGGAGGTGGGCAGTGTAAGGGTTCCTTCAAAGGGCTCCAAAAGGGATTTATGGGATTCCTAAGGGTCCTACTATTTAGGGTACTATATTAGGGTCCTCTGTTTGCAGTCCGTCCTCCGTTGTTTCGAGGATTTCTTCCTAAAAGGGGCGTCCTCTGCCCTTTCTGAAGGTATCTAGTTTTCTGGTTAGGATCTGCTATATATATATATATATAGACAGTGGGTACCATGAAAAAGGAGTCGGGTATGCCCTACAGATATGCTTGTATGAAATGCACGAAGGCATTTGCCATAGGTCGTCAGGAGAGTATGTGTGTGGTTAATTTTCGTCGTTGTTGATGTGCTAAAGGTGTTTTGTTTTTGCTTTCAGTGTTTACGGGGCTTCGGTGGTAGACTTCGAAAACGGATTCCATGCGGGTCTAGGGTTCAGATGTTTGAGGGATGCACCAATTAGGGATCGGGTTAGTGTTTGGTACTTTGGTCTAGTTGTTAAACAATTTGTTGTTTAGGGGGTGGGGCGAAGGCTTCCGCAAAGCTTATCCGGGACCAGCGGCCATCGCCTGGAGGACGCTTAGTTTACTGGAAATCATAATGCTGAATTACCAACAGGGTCCATACACAGTACCATTATGGAATTAGTTCCCAAGAACCATAATGGGGATGGTCTTTTGGAACCTAGTCTCATAATGGTAGTGTAGCTAGACCCTCTGGGTTATCGCGGGTGTGCACTTCGTACAAGTTATAAGTTTGAGACCCTAAACCCTAAACCCTAAACCCTAAACCGCTTAAAAGCTATGAGCCCTATGGAGGCCCTTCGCCGAGACACTTTCGAGGAGTACACGCTGGACAAGGGGCTTCTGCAGGGCTTGCTGAGGCGAGGGTTTAGAGTCATCTGAGCTTCTTATAGTCTCCATTATAGTTGAGTGCGTTTTAAAAATGGATCCCCCAAAACATTCCAAAACCTTATTCTGATTATCGAGGCACCTAGATTGCCTGGTTTCAGAGCTTTCGGGTTTTACGGATCAGAATTTGCTGAACGACCCTTTCTCAAGATTCTGTAAAGTACGCTCGAGCAGTACATAGACAATGCCATCAAAAACACAGACGGACTAGGACCTTTGATGTAAATCCTGCGAAACATAGTGGCCAAATCAGTCTCACTAACCAGAGGGTCCTTATATACTAGTACAATGGAGTTAGGCCGAATCCCGGAACCCTCAACTGTCAACCTGACGATGTGTACCAATTCGAAGTAGCTCGATGACCAAGAAACCTCCAATCTCATAGGACACGAATCGTAATTTCATTATCTGATGCCTGCCGTCATCTTCGTCAAAATTCTAATAGAAGTCTTCAAACCCTAAACCCTAAACCCTAAACCCTAAACCCTAAACCCTAAACCTTCACTTCCACATGAAGCCAGCATCCCCAGTCCCGAAGCCTCCCAGGGTGCAAACTCCTGGACCCTGTAATGGCCTTGAAACTAGGTAGGCCTTTGGGACATTTTATATTTTCCCTTATTGGGCTTAGTAGGACCCTATTTACGAATATTTTTCAGAGGCTTTAAGGGGCCAACCTAGGAAACGCATGATGTCAATTCTCTGCTCAACATTCAACACTGGTATCCATAATCCCTAAATCTCATGCCCAGATCCGTGATCCCCAAAATTTATCGCCATGTCCGTTATCCCGACATTTTAAGTGGCAATGTGCTAGGATTCTTCCTGTGGACTCCTTCGTTGCTGATTTCGGGGCCGGCTCGGGGCAGTACGCACGCTGGCTCAACGACACAGGCGAACCACCCGAAAGCCCCGCTCGTTTAAAGGGTGTCTGGGGTCGGGGATTTAGGGTTTAGGGTTTTAGGGTTTTAGGGTTTGGGTGTGGTGCAGTTTTGCTGCCTTGGAGCCGATCTTTTAGCTGTTGTGCCGGACTAAACAAGGTTGCTCGTGGAACTCAGGGCTTGTTGTTTAAGGGGGGGTTTCGGGGTTTAGGGTTTCATGAGGGTTTACGTAGGAGGAGGAGGAGGAGGAGGAGGAGGAGGAGGAGGAGGAGGAGGAGGAGGAGGAGGAGGAGGGGGAGGGGGAGGGGGAGGAGGAGGAGGAGGAGGAGGAGGAGGGAGGTATTGCCGGTCCGGGAAAGTTGCCCTTCAAGGTTCCAGTGGATGCAGTGTACATATCACTTCACTTGATCTTCATGTGGAGATTCGTTATCTTTCGTTGTGGCACTGTAAATTATGCCTGTTATCGGAAGGGTAGTAACAATGTCTTTGCAAGAGCATAGTTAAGATCATAAGAGGCTATTGACACTTTGTGGTGGAGTGACGTGCCCCCTCTGGCGATATAGGAGTATAGGACATGTTTTTGCCCTACAACAGTAGCTGTTGGATGCCAGATTCGTACTAAGACGCTGAAACCTTAGCCTGCCATACTGTAGAACCCGGCTCAGTAAGTCAAGTGCCGTCGATGCCTCGTGAAACAATGAACTGCCCGTATACAATCCTACCTAGACCCTAGAATGGAGTATATGGTCTTTATTATGTTAGTTTCTCGTTATAGGATCCTAATCAGAAAAGAGGTTAGCCCATGACGGTGCTACATGCTATGGTCTACGTAGCGTTCTGAGAGCATCCTACGCAGGTTTGGTGAAGGCATTCGCTTTCGATGGCTCGCCTGACATCAACCTCGTGACTCCACAGAAACGGAGCGCAAGAGGTTTTGGGCTTTAAGATGTTTTATGCGGGTAGTTCTCTAAATCCGGGTCCTCTTCAGGATAAAAACTCGTACGGCACCCAACAAAAAGGACCCTGAAAGGGATACTAATGTAAAGAACTACCCAGTGTCACACTTTAGGGGTTTAGAAGGGCCGGAATGCGATACGAGTTCTACGAGGCCTCGGCGAATCAAGTGGAATTCGCTTTAGGTTTTTGAGCTTGAGAGTTTAAAGTCTTAGGGCTTCAGGGTCTCCTAAACCCTACAGGTATTTGAATTGTCACCTACAAAATGAGCTTTCGGCTTTGGGTAAGGGATGGCGGATTTAAGGTATAAGGGTTTAGGGTTAGGCATTTTTTAGTTGGGGGGGTACCGTTTCAGGTTTAGGGGTTCGGTGCAGGGCATCAAGGCCTTTAGGGGTGTTTCTGTTTGGGGGGCCTAGGATCAAGGGTTTTAGGTTTCAGACGCCGTGAGCAGCTACTCGTCCATCCCTCCCTTAGTGGAAACGTTAGTCTTGTTTGGGCTAGAGTGCCCAGCCCCTGAGCTACTCTATGTCACTATGCCAATCCATGCCGAACCCTCAAGGAAGCATTGAAGGACCGCCCAATGTAACCCTGACAAGAACCGTTCAACTTACAGCTTTAAACGAGCCGTAAACGGAACCCTGAGCGAACACTCAGGTGACCCGCGGTGCTGTTGCTTCGGCAGATCTCGGGAAACCACTTGCACTCTGGAGGAGGCCTGATTAAGGGCTTTCGGGCTTTTCTATTATATGGTGGAGGGTTTGGGGGGTGCCGGTGTTTAGGGTTATTGTTTTTTTATAGAGGATGATCATAGGGTTCTGCAGTTTTTTTTGTGTTTTACAGGGCTTGGCAGGAGTTTAGGGTTACAGGTCGTTTTGCGCATTATAGGGTTTCATACGGTTCTTTGAAGCTTTTTCTAGAAAGGTTCAGGGTCTCGGCTCGTCCTTGTCAGCTTTCAAAAAGTGAGCTGCCACATCGTCGAGTTGAGTTTGGGCCGTTTGGGCACGTCTGGCGGAAGGACTAGAGCTTAATGTCCTCTTGCAATCCGTACGAAGCTGCTTTAACTTTCACAGACAACATTAAGACCTCAGACGACTCATGAAGGGCCCCTATATAGGCTATTACCGATAATCGGGTGTTGCGGTTTCGTGTATTAGATAGGATGTGGGGTTTACACGCCATAGGCCATCGGTGATCACTTTTGTGCAGTGTGCCAGCTGCCCAGCCATGATGGACTGTGGGATTCAGGCTTAAAGGAAGCAGCTTGATCCGCAGTACCCCAGCTTCAGGACACCGCAACCCCGCACACTCTGGTCGGTTATAGCTTGCGAGCCCTTCGTAAGTCCGAAGCAACCCTCAAAGTGACAACTTAAACCATGAAACCTCTATACAACCCTTCCAGAACCCTTGTTGGCATTTTCGGGACCCCTTGTAGAGAAGTTCTACAATCCTTATAGAGCCTTTGCAGAACCATGCGCGCAGTTCTCTATATTAGGGTCCCTGTTTAGGTCCCCCAAAATGGTACGGCACCCTACAACAGGACCCTGAAAGGAAGCCTGGTTTAGATGACTACCCATGTACAGCCCCACAGCATCCCGTAGCTCAGGTTCGATTGGTCTATTTGCCTGGAAGTGGCCGAACACATTCCAACAGCCGCTCTCTTCTTCAGCCCTGCTTGTCTCAATGTATGGGATTGGGTTAATGCTGAGGGGCTTGAGGTTGGTAGGTCGTTGTGCTTGGTTTGTTTGTGTAGCTTTTCTGACGGGGCTCTTGTTTTTTTGAAGTCTGCTGTGTTGATGTCTTTAGCTACCACAGACGTAAGGACCTCACGTCAACATTTCTGCAGAATCTGGATCAGCACCTTGGCAGCCAAATCTGCAGGCCACTCAGTCCATGTAGTAGTATTGCCTGAGGGATCAAGTGATTTAGACTTTTGTGTTAAACTATAAAGGAGATTTCTCTAAGATTTGTGTACGGGTGCTGTGTGGTTTTCGGGCCTACCGGAGGGACCAGGGGACTTGGTAAGGGTGGCTATGGTGCTTACTGATTCACATAATTTCTTTTAAGCCTCTTAACTAGATCTTAAACAATACACCCATTACTTTTGATACGCAAATCTTTTGACCCTCTTGTTCAGGCAAGCCGTCGTGGCTCCTGAGATATTAGTCCATGCAGAGGTCCTGAATCCTATAACTTTCGGAAAGAGCTCTCAACAAAAACAAAAACATAGACGCCTAGACACAAACCCCAAGCTCATGTTGTCCAGTTCAAAAACTTAAACACCCATACATCCTTAACCCAACCCCCCAAAGCCAAAATGCAATCTCAAACCGGGCATAGCAGCTGCAAGATTTCCTAGCCGTCGTCTTGGACTGCCCATTAAGTTTTCCAGGGCCCCGAGGGCCCAGGGCTTTAGATCTTATGGTTTTCGGATTCAGGTTTATATGGTTTAGGGGTTTTGGGGGCTTATGACCCCAAAGCACAAGACCACACAAAAATCCGAAACCCTAAACCATCCGAAGCAAGATTCCTTAACCCTAAAGCCCTAAACCTTAAACCGGGCCCTTTAGTACCCTTCTAGGAAACCTAGACCCTAAACCCCCAAACCCTACAGTACCCTTATAGGAACCCTCAAACGCTAATAGCCCCTGAGGCACACTGCCCGGGGCCTGGTCCTCACCTGGGCCCGCCCCGGGCTACAAGGGCTGGGCACAGCCAATCCGCCGCTGGGCAAGTTTGTGTTGTCCACTTGGAGGGTCAGGGGACTTAGGTTCTTGGAGTTATAAGTAGCTTAAGTGGGGTTGTATGCAATTAGAAGTATGGTTACCTTGACTTAACCCTAGTTACTAAGTCCCATGATCCTCTAGTAGAGTTTCGGGTTATAGCGGGCGCAAAGCTGTAACTACAAGGATTCTAGAGCTCCAGAGGGCTTCTGCTTCAGTGCGGGATTCAATGCCGAACATACGTGTTTACCCATAGGCCCCAAAGTAGTTCCTTTTGGGGATTACCTTGTAGGATTCTATATACGAACCCCAAAAAGAACTACTTTGGGGCCTTAGGGTACATAGAGGTCTGAATAGCCAGTGCTGCGCGTTACTATCTCATGGTAGTCCCTGTGCGAACATTCGGGCTACAAAGTGAGGGGACTGTATGCGGTCTGTTGGGCCCGTGACATAGCTGAAACACACCCAAAGCCTTCCAACCCTGGAACCCCAGAAGTTAGTGCCCTATAGCTTTCGTGCGTTGCTTGTCCTAAACCCTAAATCCCCTGGCCTCTGTGGCCTTTATCGAGCAGACTGGATTGCTGGGTGAAAAAGGGGCTCAAAAAAAAGAAAAACTATGGGTCCTAGTAGTAGAGTAGGTAACCTTTAACCTTTCTGGGTAGTATAGTCCCTATATAATCCCTACATATCCAAAAAGGTTAACCTTTAGCTCCCTAGATACCCGACAGGTAAGGGGTATTGGGCTTTCTGCATACCCGAAAGCTTCACGACTCATCGTTGGGCCTTAGAACCTCTCAGCCCTTGATGGGAACTTCAGAAGCTTGGGGGACCTTAGTTAGGGTTTAGGGTTTAGGGTTTAGGGTTTAGGGTTTACTTGGTAACTTGGGGTTACGTAAGGGTTTCAGGGTTCAGGGTTTGGGTTTTAGGATTCAGGGTTTAAGAAGTAGTATATGGGTAGTATACGTATGAAAAAAGACCCCGAAATCAAGCCCATTCAGTTTGCGGAGCCCCTCAGTCAATAGCAGCCTAGAGCCCTGGAGCGCTCAAAAGACCCTTGCCCGATCCTCGTAAAACCTGTATCGAACTCAAATCCCTCCCCCACCCTAGATGCTAAACTCTATAAGCCCTAAGCCATATATAGATAGAACGATAAACCCTAACCTTAAACGACACACTCTTGCCCTAAATCCCCCAAACTCCTAATCCAGGCTGACTCAAGAGCAAGTGTTGGCGCTCATCCGCGAGCATACGGGCCTCATCCACGTGGATGAGGTTCCGACAGCCGTTGAGCGTGAGTGGATTTGTTTCAGAAGATTTCTAACGAGAGTTTTCGGGCTTCATAGGTTGTTTCTTTATTGTCAGGTTTTCCGATGCTTTTGTGGTAGGGCTGTCTGGCATTGTGCGTGTGTTTGTTTTGCCTTTTCAGGTGGGCTGTTTGGGGCGTCATAGGATAGCGTGCAGCTGCCTAGAGGATCATGGGACTTAGTAACTAGGGTTATAATTAAGGCAACTATACCTATAATTACATATATAACTCAACTTGGGGTACTTATAACCATACTTACTAAGTCCCATGATCCTCCAAGCAGAGGCTTTCGAAAGGTTTTGAAGCAGGGTGTTGTGGAGCTTTTCAGGGGTTTATGGATTTGCAGGCACAGGATCTTCAACCTAGACCCCCCAACTACCCTTTATTATACCCCAAATACCCACTATGAAGGGTCATAAGGGCTCCATCAAAAGGCGCTTGGGGGGGGGGGGGGGGCTCAACAGGGGTTATTAATATTGAAGTTTAGTGTTGCTTGTATGGGGTTATAGCATACGAAACCCTAAACCCGGGTGTCTTGGTCTTGACGTGCAGAGCACTTACAGAAGTACAACTTGGTGAAGGTTTGTAAAGGGTGTTTTAGTTGGTTGAGGCTTAAGACATCTGACCTCCAATCTTACGGCTTGAACACCACTGCCTCCATCGTGGCGACTTTGTTTTAGCAGTTGACGGTTAGGACGTTTAGGATCCTCTAAAGACCCTGGTGACCAACCAAAGGGACTGCAACGGCGAATGTAAGTAAACCTTACATCTGCAATACACGACCACGGCCATCAGCATCCAACAAGAAGCCAAAAGCTTGAGCCTACATAGTTCTCCAACAGCCTTCCAAGATATCTCCTGACCCCGAAGGTTCTAACACATAGCTGGAAGAATTTTAGGGTAAAGGGTTGAAGCCTCCGCCGGACATCTTCGAGTCTTCAAGCCCTACAGTTGAGAGTACCTTGTTACGGGTCAGCCAAATACCCCTAAGTCCCACACCTTAGTAAAGCTCACAAACATTCTTGAATATGCTAACATAAATCGGGTTGAATGGGGTGGTTACGCAGGTTTGCATGCCTTGGCTGCCTTGATATTCAGATGTGTTGAGCAGGACCTCACCAAGAAGCTGCGTGCAGCATCCACCATTCCGCACTTGGCGGACACGCCACCCGGCATTGTAAGAATCAAGTGGTTTCCCAGGTAGGGTCAGGCCCCAAGGAAATCACCACGACAACAGAAGGTTCTAGCTGATTGGGGGAATGATGCATCCATCGGCAATTACAACTTTAAGCACTTGTTTCTTTTTTGAGCCAACGTGTATGGTTTTAGTTGTTGTGTACCGAGGCATAAATTCGAAGCGGAAAGAAAGGACAGGATCTTTACGTCCAGTGGTTGGCTGTGGACTCCATGAGAGCATGTACATGCTTGCAAGATTCACGTCGAGCCTGTCTACCAAACCCCCAACTGCTTCACCCTCAACCTGCTCCCATAGCCAACTCCAAAAGAAGCAACGGCGCTGCAGCTGCTTCCGAGGCTACTTGTCATGGATCCGGCCTCAGTTCGATCCAGATGGATGTAGGGCCAAAATGCCCACGACCCGAATTGTAGGTTACCGGGTTATGTAGTGCTGTGAGGTTTGTATGAGGTAGTATAGGGTGTAGCCGGTAGCCCTGCAATCTTGCTTGCACGACTTTGGATCCCGCTATCTAGAGTATTGAAGCAGAGCTCGTCAGTGTTTCCAGCTCCAACAGAAATCGCTACATGCGCCTTTTCGGAATTCTCGGTTACTTGTAGGTTCATGGAGCTATGTTAAGACCTCAGCTGGCGTTGTAAGTCTTCATATCAGAGTCTGCAGGCCAAGGAGCGCACTTCTTTGACACCAACCGTCTCCGTTTGCAGTGCATGCAAATATCTGCACACATCCACATATTCTGATGCACACACACATACGGTTGTTCTCATGCGTTCTATAAGTTCGACACGAGGTGTTTGTAGTTGTTCTTACCAAGGTTAGTGGTCTGATTCACTAAGCCTTGACTTCTTCCGGCCCTGTTCTCTGCGCTGGTAGACATCTACTGTAGCTTGCTCAGGGGACTGATGCAACTTGATCGTCTCTTCCTGTTCTGAGCCAACATCCTGAGTCAGCTCTGGCAGTTTGAGCCTGAGGATAGACAAAACGAAGAATTGACGACATCACTATCACCAGCATAGAGACCCCACGCTCTTTTGCCTTTGATCTCAACTTGCCAAGTATAAGTAGTTGAATCCTGTCCATGCCCTATCGTTTTCGTAACTAGACTCTAGAACTGCAAAGTCGTTTACAGCTTGACAAAGCCAATATATATATATATATATATATATATATGGCCCCTTGTGAGGCTTTTAAGAATCTACTACAGAGGCCTTAATTATTACCTATACCATTGTGGGGGGCGCTTATAGTATGATATGCACCCAGACCCTATTCTATGTATTAAGGCCCAGTGCCCTCTCAGGTTCGAGAGCCCAGCCAGGCTCCCTCAGTGCTTTTGCCTCAGCCATTGGCGTGTGCTCATGTTTTCACACTCCGGGTTTGGGTTTAGGGTTTAGGGTTTGGGGGTTCAGTGTAGATGGTTTCGGGTTTTAAGCTCAAGGTCTTCATTGCTTGTGCCAAGTCCTTGGGCATGCTTGTTGCAGGGTCATACCAGCGTGGGAGCCAAAATGGCAGCAACGCTAGAACACCGATCCTAGCATCCGAAGCTCCGAACCCCTAAACCTTCCAACGCTGTCCTCTTGACCCAAATTGCCCGAAACCAAGATCCCGAAAGGCCCAAACCCTTCTGGAACCCCTTGCGTAGTCATGTGACATGCTGTCAAGACCGCAGAAGCTCTGCGAAACCAAGCCGAAACTCGTAAAAGTAACCTCAGATCCCAAGTAGACCCCAGAATCCCTAAACCCCAAACCCCTAAACCCCTAAACCCTGAGCCCTTAACCCTCAACCCTAAGCCCTTAACCTTTAAACCGCGAAACCTCTTGATCCCGAGGATCACATCTGATGCCGGACCAGAGTGCAACTCTGAGCATGGTGTCGCTCTCAGCTAAGATAGGGCCCTTAATAGATACCTGTACTGTTTTGGGGGTTCCTTAAATGATAGTATCATATACCCCAAAACCCCAAAATAATTTTGAAGGGCCCTACATTACTGCCTAATTAGGGTTTAAGGAGGTGCATGGAGTTCATGGGGGTTCAGTTTTTGGAGTTTTAGGGTCTAGTGAGAGGACCAGGGGACTTGGTAAGTAAGGACTGGCATAAGAAAGGTAGTGACAAATTCCCACCGAAAGCTCTATTGTAGGGGTAATTTGCAAGCCAATCAGTAGCTGCCCAGGAACCTCGATGTGTTGGATGTTAGCGCGGGTGAAGTAGCCCTTGAGTTTACATTGAAGCGCTCGTTGCAGCATCTGGGGCATCTAGAGTTTCGGGGTCGTGTATAGAGGAAAAGCACGGTTCATTGCGTCGGGACCAAGAACAAGAATGGTAGTCAGAGCAGTAGCATGTTGTTTTTGTTTGTGAGTCGTATCTTGACAACGCTGCCGTCTATTCCAGGATCACCAGCACAGGAATGATCACTCAGTTTGTCAATGTCTGAGAGTTTCCCATGACTGGACTCAAGGCTAGGCAAGTGAAGTGACATGTGGACTTGCTGGGTCGACGCTGCCTTGGCCAGGCTGGATCTATGCAGGCAACGATGTTCAGATGTTCAATGCCGTGACATCTGCGGCTGCTTGCTGTGAGCTTTGCAACAGCTCCTTGGGTGCAATACCATGTGTTGTAAGGACCAAGTTTCCAGAAGCCTACAATCCGAAACCTACGGGCACCGCGATTCCAGCTTGTAGGGAGCGACGACACACATCAATTGCAAAGTCGCTGGCGATCTAGTGCCTGGCTGCTGGTGATGATGATGACGTGGTGATGATGATGATGATGATGATGGTGACATTGTTTGTATTCATCGTTTTCTTCTTCACAATGTGCCGTGTACATCATCACCAAATTAGTCAATAGGCGTCGGCATGCTCACTAGTTGTCTCTTTTATTATTCTCTGCCAGTTACTGGCAGCACGAAAGCTCGGTACGGTACCAAGAACCTTGCTATCCTCACAATGATGATCACCTCATTAAGTTCATTCATCGTCCTCACAAGCGCTACGCTGCAAATCACCTATCATCACACAGATAGCTGCTATCCGTGTCTTGATGGCCGTGGATCGTCGTCATCATCAGCAGCCAAAGACATCACCACAATAGTTGCAATGTTTGTTTTGTTCTGGGCTGCAGCTCCTAGGCAACTAGCAAAACACTGGTCCCACAATGTGAATGTTCCAGAATACCTCAGGCAACGAGAACTGCCGCTTTTGGACGTGGTCGCGCGAGGAGAGCCACAAGGACGACCGCCAAAATGCGCATGCATGTAGGTATGCATGGATGTATGTACGTAGGTACAGTATGTATGGATGTGCGCATGTATGTATGTATGCATATATACATATGTACACAAATGCATATACAGATGTGTATACATGTGTATATATATATATATGCATAGACATATACATATACATACACATACACGCAGCAAGTTTAGGTAGCATATGTGCAGAAGGGTGTATATCTTTGTATTCATACATGTGTGTACAAGCTAACTTGAAGACTACAGTCCGTACATCAACATACTAGAATGCACCAGGGCGAGCATGAGTTTAGGCCTAAACCCTAAAAGAGTAGGCTTGGGTGGCTTGGCCGCCTTATACGATGTTGGATGGGGAAGAGAGAAGGAACAAGTCTTCTATGGATAGGGTGTCGCCGCTCGTCGCCGCAGTACGATGCACTCGACACAGATGTGTTCGCCTACGCGCTATTCCTGGCAAACCCTGACTTTAAACCCTGAAAAAAACCTTAAACCCTAATCCCTTGAACCCTGAACCCTAAACCCTAAACCCCTAAAAACCCTAAACCCCTAAACCCCTAAAAACCGTAAACCCTGCATTTTGGGAGGAGCTCTGCTGGATCAAGGCAGTTTAGGGTCTCCTGGGCTCGACGTGCGTTTAGGATTTACGGCTTCCTTAGCCCCAAGTAACCTACCTTTTTAAGGACTCATTTAAAGAAATCATATTAGGGAACCCTAAAAGAGGCAGGTTTCTTAGGGTCCAGGTTGGGGTCAGGGGTTTAGTAATTCCTGTTTTAGGATGTAGGGTTTAGGGTTTAGTAATTCATGGTTTATGTTTTAGGGTTTAGGGTCTAGGGTTTAGTAAGTTAGCGTTAAGGATGTAGAGTTTGGGGTTTGTTGTTTAGGGATTGGGCTTCAATGCAGTTGTAAGGTAGATAGTGGATTTGTATAGCTACCTTGATATGGAGCATGGGGTGTCAAACCGGTTCTACAGGGGTTCAGGGTTTAGAGTTTTAGGGTTCGCGGGTGTCGGGCTCCGGGGTTGCAATAAGGGTTAAGGGCAAATTGGATGCATACTTAGATGTCCAGGTTTGAGGATGTACGTTTGCAAGCAGGTGACGAAAGCCTCACTAGTTCAGACCCGGGCCCCATTTGGGGAGCGTTTGAAAACTAGATGGCTTTGATCGCCTCCCATAAAAAATCCTTCCGAAGGCTCTGAGGAATCGTTTATGCCGTGAGGACCCCCCAAATCGGAAATCCAAACTATTCAAAACAAGCTTGAGCCGACTAGTTTCAACCTTAAACCCTAAAACTATTTTCAAAAGAACCCTACACTTTCTAGGATGCCAAGTAGTACCCTTATTCCCATTTTGTAGTCCTAGGTTCCTTATAAAGTTACCCAATACTAAAAAGGGAGCCCTAAACCCTAAACCCCTATTCTCAAAATAACCCTACACTTTCAACCTTATTACAAAGCTTCTGCCCTGAACCCTGAGCCTCTAAGCCCGAAGCCCTAAATCCCAAACCCAGAACCCTGAACCCTAAAACCCTACCCTCAACCCGAGCCCCTAACTAAACCCTAAACCCTAGATCCCTAAACTCTACTAGTGCCCTTATAGATCCCTCATAGGAGCCCTGACAGCTCCTTTTTCTAGGAGCCCCGAAACCCTAAACTGTAGCCAGGCCACGCGGGAGTATCGTATCAGCCACGCTGGGTTCATCTCGGGCACGCGGAGCGG